AAAAGGCTGGTAGAGAAACAATTAGCTTTAAAATGAGAGTGAGCAGTGACAAAAAAAAAAGCCATTTGAAACAGATTTATCCAAGTGAGGGACTCTGGATTACAAATTGCCAAGCACTCTCTGTTTCTGCACTTTGACAGCAGTCTTCTTACGTATGAAACTGATCCCGTTAATATAAAATTGATTCTTCTTACCTGTGAAACTGATACCTTAACTATAAAATTGATCACAAATGGTCAGCGTGTTCTCAGAGGTACAGTAAGCACAACCTAGTAGAGGAACAGAAAGTAGAACTGGAGAAAGAATTAATAAGTAGAATGACCAAAAGGAAACATGAATAACAAATGGTTTGTAAGTCTTGCCAGTCCAGAGAAATTGGCTCCTAACTGCTTTAGTTAAATTTAGTACAGTTTTCTCCTACAGGGGAGCAATATTGACATTTGTGCCCAAGCAGGCTGGTATAATTTAGAAGCATTAATCATCGGATCTGATACGTAAAATGTTGCTTGAGAGAAGGGGGAATTAATCTATCCTCCCTCTGCAGTGTAGACTGAGTATGAATCAGCAGAGGAGGTTTAAGGCAGATGTTTAGAATAAAGCTTTCTGGACCCTTTCTCTAGATTTTCCCATGGAGACATACCCTTTACAGCCAAGCTTACTGACAACAGGCTTGCTTTTTGAAATTACTATCCCTGAAGCGCCACAGTCTCTGAAATGCAAGAACTTCTGGCACCGATTTTCTGTGACTCAGTACCTCCTTTGAAGTAACAGTAAGCAGGGGCAGAAACTCCCTGTAGTGCCTCAGTCAACGGGCACAGCGTTGCTGCAGCCAAGCTGTTGCTCCGGCGTGGGGTGCTGTCACGTAAGTTTTGTCGAAGCAGAATTTGGCTTTACGTGACCTGCGAGTAACGCAGGATGCCTGTGTGAGAACTGATGGAGAACGTGGCTGTTCTCCTGCTTTAACCCCTAATGTTTTCCCCTGTGGAAGAGTTGTAGCGAAGGAGCTCTAGATCCCATCTTTGGTAATATTAAATCAGAATTTTGCATAGAAATCTACTTGAGTCTTGCTGGGGTAGAATCATAGAATGGCATAGGCTGGAAGGGACCTTCGAGATCATCTAGTCCAACCTCCCTGTTTTGGAGGATGGTGGGGGTGAGCCTGGACCAGCAGCCTGACCACTACAGACCACAAGTTACAAGGGGGCTGAAGAAATAGAGAACAGGGAGAGGAAAATGACATGATGTGCGGCAGCCACATTTGCATTTCCTGAGAGTTTTGAATCCCAAATAGAGACGCATCAGCGCCGTGCTGCAAAAACATGAGGGTGGTTGTTCCAGCCTGGAAGCCTTCTCACTGTGTCCTTCTGTCTGTCGTTTGCTTTCATTCCCTTCGGGCTTTTGTATTTTGTTACTGCTCGGTATCTTTCCTATCCATTAGTCTGGCACACCCCATTAAGCAGCTTTTCTTGATTGACTAATGAGGTGCTATTTTTGGCAATGCTTTTATCACTGCCTTTTATTCCTCAGATACATCTTCTGCATTTTCACTTGTTATTCTTTAGTGATTCCTCTATTGCTACTGTATTTACTGTTACATGCCCATCACCTTTCTCTGGTCAGTTGTTACTCCTCTCTCTTGACATCTCCTGACATCTCTCTTTCCCAGTTACGTACCCCCTGCTTCATTCTGGTTTGTTCTACCATCTCACAGAGACCTTTTCTCATCTTCCTCCACCTAGGACATTGTTCTTCTCTTATGCCCAAGACCAGCTTTCAAATAATCAGAAAGAAAATAAAGGATAAAAGCATTTCTAAGAGAGAGATTCATCCCACCTTACAATGGCTGTCTAAGCCAGGCAGGTTGAATCACATCAGTGAGTTTTTATCTCCGTTAACTGCAGAACTCTTAAATAGGATGGACCAGATGCCTCACTTAGGAGTTAAATGTAAGCAAGACAAATATCATTCACGTAAGCTACTAGGACTTAAAATGCTGAATATTAAGACAGCATGTGCTACCACACATTAAAATGACAGAACAATAATTTAGGAAGCTGTTTGTAAGTTATAGGATTTTGGCAGTTGTTTAACTCACTGCAATAAAACTGTTTAGAATTAACATGGTTTTGAATCCCTTTTTTTGTGTCCCAGTGATTAGCAGCATCAAATTCCAGATGCAAGCTGGCTTTTTAATCCAAATAATAGCTTTCTCACCATCATACATAAATACAGCCTTAACACATCAGTATGTTAACTGCAGTAATGCTATTCTCAGAAGATTAAAAGAAATATTCCTGCTTTCATCTGCCTAGTGTATGCTGAGGCTATAAGGTATTTCAGAATTAGCATAAATACTGGTCTAGATGTGCCCTTTCAGTTTGTGCTTAAAGGGATTGCTGTATTCTTGACGCCTTCTTATTTCATTCTCCAAAAATGTAACCTGTGAGAATAAAGAAAGTAACCCAAGGACAAAATAAAGAGCTCTGTAAAGGGTTATTTACGTCCCTCTGATGTGTGGTGTCTTTACTGACTTTATTCATAGGCACTGAGATGGACCCAAGACTGCAGTAAGTAAAACTTCTTGGGTCATTTCATGCTGGTTTCATGAGGTCAGGGAGACACTTGTCATTTTCCTTCACGGTGTGTAGGGCAAAATACTAATGTAAACCAGGGTGGTTCTGCTAACAGATGTCACAGCTGCTGTTGACCCAGTTCAGAACTCTTCTGTCATCTGGCTCATTTTGCAGGGCAGCTGCCCCAGCGGTTATTGGGAGGCAAGGCAGGGCATGGGCTTGATGGGCAGTAGCTGCGCTCTCGTAGTTGGAGCATCCCTGCCCATCTCTTGTGGCATTTTACATTTACCCTGAGTACAAGCAGGTGTTGCAGGGTAGCTAAAGTGCTGTAAATTAGGGCGCTAGGAAATTTTTTCAGGTATCCATACATATTAACGGCAACACAAAAAAGTTAGTGGGCATCTGGGTGTGTACTGCGGTTAATACTGGTGTAGCACAGTTGGGCATATATGGCTTGATCGTGCCCTTGGAAGGCGGCTGGAAACTTCTCGATGTAGACGAGCCGAACAGGATGATGCCCCATGTCCATGTCTCATGTATTTGGGTGCTAACATAAACACCCTGTTAGAAAAAATTGTGAAATTGATGTATCATTAAAGCCAGAGCTAAAAGATCTTCATGAGGTTTGACTGATTTCCATATCCAAATAGTTAATTGCTAACTCCACATTTCCTAAATGGAGGAGTGGGAGAGACTGGAAAAATAATCTTATGCAGGGAGGACAGTCACAGACAAACTCATTGAACAACAACTTGTAGAGAGATTTGTGGCAAGTAAAAAGTCAATGGTCTGGATAGAACTCTTATCATGAGAAACCTCTTATATCGCCAATTGTGTGCACACCCTGATCTGACACAGGCCAGACTGCTGCTGCTGCGAGAGGTGGTCTGACATGCTCCAACAGTTAATAGGGTGGAAGTGAGAAAATTTTGCTAAACACATTTAAAGATAGTGCAAAGAATTGGAAGGAGAGAAGGTGCATGCCTCTCTTTGGTGTGTAAATACATGTTTTTTAATTTTTAAATATGTATTTTATGCCTTCCCTTGTGTGAAAGTTCTCCGAAGAAACTGTTAATGTTTCTAGCTTAGAAACGTGAACCAGAGTGATGTGATGTCTTTGTTTTTTTCTGTTGCATCTTCTGGGAGTCTAGATGATATGCATGACAAATCTTTCACCTTGGCAGAAAGAGAGGGAAGTGTTTAATATTTAACCAAGGTTGTCTTTTCCTTCAGCATCTATCAATAGGGGACTGCAGTTACAGATATGTAAAACTGTGTTTGTTTTTGCTAAGAGGAGTGCTTGGAAGGAGAAAGGGATAACCTTTCCCTAAGGAACAGGCGTCAATGATAACAGGAAGACAGGAGATTGTTTTAAAGATTGAAGAAATTGAGCCCATGTTACACCAAAATAGTTTAATACTTGCTTAAACAGGACCCTATTTAAGCACAGCAGTTAAAAGTGGCTTTTGAATCAGTGTGGTCATTAAATTGTGAGAGTTGCTGTGCCCTTGTCATCTCAAGCTCTCACACCAACCTGTCAGTGATTTTCCCACAGGGAGCAGCGTGTCAGGGTTCTTGTCATATTATCTCCTGTTTACTGAAGGAAATGGTCTGCTAACCAGTGAACCGAATTCTCTGACTCCCAGTCATTCCTCTATGTTAGATAAGGACCATGTTTCCAGAATTGCATTTAGTTATGTTTACACTGGTGGGAAAAACCTCCTGTTACCGATAGCAAACCAGCAGAAGCACCCTGCTCCACTTGCTTTCTGTCCTTCCCAGAAACTTAGCAGAGCTTTTCAAGAGAAGAATGTAGAAACTAGAATGCCGTAGCCCAAACAATCTTTTTATTTTTTTTTGGTGTGTGAGCCTTTAATCTGAGCTGCATCATTGGTACAAATCTGGTACGTTGCAGGGAAGAGTTGTGTGTCACCATTTTCAGTGTATTTGTTTCTGGTTTCAAACTAGTTGTACTTGTCTTTCTTATTGAAGTGTGGATTTGTTAACTGTTACTATAATATTTTCTCTTGTACCTCAGCAATCTGTAGAAAGAAGCCTACTGCAAGAATGCTGTAGTCCTGCAGATAAAAAAGATCTGCTACACCATTGAGAACCTCAACAAAACAGAAAACAAACACTTTTTCCATGGCTTTTAAATTCTTTGTGTTAAAAAATAATATGGATAGGGTATTTTCAGTAGAATTGGGGTGCCTGTGGGGAAGAGAGCTGGAGAGTTCACAGAAAACAAGTGGGCACAGGCAGCTTCCAGCCAACTCTGCTGGGCTGAAATGTTTAAGCTAGAATTGCTTTTAAATAGTCTTGATGATTAATGTGTAGCTTTTCGACTAATGCTTACCAAAAACAAATAAAAAAGCCTACTAGGAAAACACGTGTGCAGTCACCCTGTGCCTGCCTCTTGTCCTGCAGATGCGTACAACCCGCAAGGTGTCGGTGTGGCCGGTGGGGCTGGTTGGAGGACGACGGTATGAACGCCCAGTCGTGGAAAACGGCAAAGTCGTTGGCTGGTACACAGGCTGGAGAGCTGACAGGCCCTTTGCTATTGACATGGCAGGTAAGGACTAGGTTTCATGATACGTGAACGTTTCTCATAATAACTTTTTTTTAATAAGCGGGACAGAAACAGGTGTCTCGGTGTAAGCGGCTTTTAAACCTTCTGAAGTGCATCCGCTGTGTGTAGCCCTTCAGCACCAAATATCCTGGAAGTCTTACCTTGCACATCTTGTCTAAAGAAGCTGCTGCTTGGCAATATCTGAACTTGCTTTCACTTGTTTTCAATCTTATGCAGCAACTTGGCTTTTATGTTGTAGAAATTATTTGTCTGGAACAATTCAATTGTAAATTAATTCATTCAGTTATTTTTCGTGAGGACCTCCCGCCTTTCATTGTGTCATCGACACCAGGCAGTATAAATGCAGGCCCTTCGTAGACCTTGTACTGTAAAATGCTACTTTATCATGAAATTATTTGGTTTTTAGTTGGTTATTTGGAATGTAGATGGATATAGTTTGAAACACTGGGCTTAGGAGAAGAATTGCTGACAGCTGTAGCCTAGTAGATGAAGGCAGAAAAGCTTCAAAATGGACCTAATCAATCTTCTGCTGTGAAGTCAGCACACCACATAGCTATGACTTGCTGTCAGACCATTCTTAGACAATCTTTTGTGTATATTCACAACTACCAAATGTATCACCACTGTGCTGAAGTCCGGCTTCTGATGCAGCAGCATCTGGTTTCCCAAAAAATTATGTATTTGCACTTCAGTGTCTTCTGTATTCAGGAAGAAGAGGGAGAGGGAAAACATGGGAATACAAGGGCAAGAAAGGGGTAGAAATAGCCAGCTGTTTTCTTCTTTCTGATACCCTTCTGTTCTGGGAGAGGGAAAAGGACAGTGCTTTGTCAACTTAACAGAGTATTTTTATATGGGTTGAAATGTCTGATAAAAAATATGTACAGTAGTTAGAGTACAATTGGTTAAAAAGAGGGGAACTAATAGTTGTTAACACCTCAAAAACAGAAGCATCAACAGGTGAACTTTCCTGCACTGCAGAAGCACTTCAACTTAGTAGTATCACCTGGCATGAAAATAAATATTTGAGTGTCCAGGTTGAGGCATTCCTCAGAGGAGAAGTAGGTGTGTCAATCACCAAACCCATGCAGCCTGTTGAGGACCGCAGCTGTGTGTTTTAACAGTCTCTGCCTGTGGACTTACAGATACAAATTGATGCCGTGCTGTAGAAGTGGTTACTTATGGGCGTTATAAAGATGATGGTGCAGTTTGTAATTGATGAGCAGCAAGCAAAAAGCCAAAGCCATTACACAACGTGGACCAAAGGCCTCTAACCCAGACAAAGACAGAAACGTTAAGAGTATACGAAATTATCACAGATCCACAAACAAGGAGTAACTACTTTGCAAGAGAACTTTTATTAGTCTTCAAGAAATAACTGAAGAAATTAAATTACACTTTTAATTTCATCGAGAGAAAGGGATGCTGTGTTGCCTGGTAAAAAGTTAAGTTTGCATCTCACTGCCCTCAGGAATATGATAGATGGGCACAGAACTGCACAGGTGTCTGAACAGGCATGGTGTACAGGATGCGCGTTAACCCTTGATTTTCCACCCTTGCCCTTCCCACCCCTCCAACATACCCCTGGAGACTTGGAGGACTGGCTAACAAACCCAAATCAACGCGTTCCTGTGTGACCTACTATAGGTGATCTCCATCTGGCGGGGCGGTTGGACTAGATGATCTTTTGAGGTCCCTTCCAACCCCTGACATTCTGTGATTCTGTGATCTGCTGGCACCAAAGATAGAAGCAGCTTGGGTCATACCATGTGCTGCACATATAGAAGATGAAGGGTCTATTTTGAATTACCATGGGAAAAAAATAGGTGCATATATTAAACTGCCCGGCTGTCTACTGCTGTTTATAATTCATGGTCTGATTCCCAAGGAATGGTAGGGAGGCTCCCTTTGGTTTACAGAACCATCTTTTTGCAGTGATTTTCCACAAGAATTTGGTCGTGAGGCTAGGTGTGAAAAGAATGACTGCTTAAAAGGGTTGGGACCACTAATTTAACTTCTGGCTGTTCAGAGGAAGGGCATCCTTGCTTTTAAGCACATAAACTTCTTATTCTAGACTGAAATACAGGGCTAAATTCAAAGCTACTGCAAGTGGAGACAGGTCCTGCTGATTTCATTGTGATCTGCTCAAAGACCCTCGCTGGCCAACTTCTCTAGACCCTTTTTTGAAATACACTCACACAGGATAATCCCCCTTAGATAGTAAACATTGGTCAGTTTGTTGGGGTTTTTTTGAGAACTTTGTGGTTGACACTGCTAGTCTCCAATGCTAAACTGCATTCAGAAAGCTGAGTAGCTGTTTTCTGTGTTGCTTCTTGTCTGGCAACCAAGGCACTATATGAATTAGTTCAGGTGATTTTTAAGTTCTGCCTCAGTTTTAACTGTAGGTGGGTTCTAGACTTTGACTTCCTTATCCTCAGGGAACAAAAGCAAGGGAGAACTGGGTGGTGTAAGTAAAAAGGAACATCGATTCTGAGGTAGGCACTGTGTTGTTTATTATAGCCCTGGTTTTAAATCTTCTGTATTAAATGATGCTGCTAGTGACTTACTTTTGGCTTGTTCCCAGGGCCAGAGCTTTTGACCACCCATGAGAACAAGTCAGATTGTGGTTCTCCTAATATTCAGATTATTCAAGGCAAATAGATGCCTGCTTTGTCAGCATTGCAGGAGTTACTCCAGTCATAGAGATCAATCCATGCACCTGTGAATCACTGGACAAGCAGATTTTGGGCTTGCAGTTCAGAGCTCATTCACTGTGCCTTAAGTTATTCTGCTAGGCCTGAACAACCACCTTTTATTTATTTATTTAGTTAGTTAGTTAGTTATAGTTATGAGATCTGCAGTACATCTCATCTTTTCTCTGGTTCCCTGAGTTAACAGACACCTCAAGAGGTGGCATATTTTGTCTGAATCTGAGAAAGTCACTGCTGGAAGTCATAAGCACAAACTAACTAAATAAAGTGAGTGTGGCAGACACCACACTCAAAAGCCCCCTGCAACCACCCCTCCATCAAAGGGTAACAACTACCTTAAAGGTTGAGTTTAAAATTGAGACCCTCTTTGATGTTGAATTGACTGCCAGCAGACGCCTTTGTTTGGAACTACAAAAAAATCCTGGCTGAGCACCTCCACTTTACTGCAACACAAACAAACACAGGGAGAAGATAATTTGAAAGAAGCGGACCCCGAGCTGTGGCATGTTCAACAAGCCAAAAGTAGAACAGCACCCTGAACTGGGCAGAAACCAGTATATCCATTTAAATGTCAGCACCGAGCATTATACGCTCCAGAGATGAGCAACCGTCTCGGTTTCTAGCTTGCTTTCAGCTGCTATCCTGTCTGGAGCATTCAGGAAGCAGAGGCATTAATCACAGTAACAAAACCTTTAATGACCAGCTCAGTCTAACTGGATTAAGAAAAGCTGTTTTGCCTTTTAACAGGAGCCATTGATCGAGCATGAGTCAAGGTGTGAATTAACAGAAACAGCTTCAGTAGAGAGCAGCACAGATGTAATCTTTGTCTCCCAAGTATCTCATCCTCCAACAAATTAATTCTTATCTAAGTGGCTCTTCAGCCAATTAATTTAGAGCCTTGCATTAAACGCTAAAAACCCCAACACACCTCTTTGCACTCTGGCTATGAAATCGTCCGGTGGCATTTCATGTGAACTTAAGCCCGATATCACCTGGTGGGAATAATGATCAAGTAAAAGAATTGTAGGTGTATAGCACTATTCAGTCATGCTACACTGGAGACAGTAATCCCAGATTAATCCCTGTTTGGCGTTTTTCAGCTGTTACCACAGGATGGTTATCTGCTGGAGAGAAATAACTAGAGCCAGTCTGGTCAAGACCTGAGCCGTGTCCTTTCTTTCTGATGCCAAAATGATCCACAATAAAAAGCCAACTGAAAGTTGTCCCTAGAAAGTGGTTTTCCCTCAAGTCTATCTGAAGTCTATCTACATAAATACAAAATTTCATACACGTGAAGTAAAAGCAGTTATAAAGCAGATCTGAAGAGATTAAGAGAGCCAAGAGATTAAGCCTCCTATAATTATATTCTCCAAGTTGCTGCCTTATTGGATCACTTTAAGAAACAAAGACTACATGATCACCAGTCATGGAAACAAACCACAGTAGTCCATGTCCTTGCCACGTACAACACTTGGTTTAATAATTTTACTTTTATTTGATACCTGAAGACACAGGAGGATTTTTGATAGCGCTCTAAAATGGCAGTTTGTGATAGCACAGTAGTAAAGGTACGCGTTCCATGCAGGGGGCATGGCACATCTGAAGATCTGTGTTTAGGAGAAAACTGGAGAAATTGGAACTGAATCCAATTTTCTCAACAGAGGGGCAAGCTTTGCCACAAGAAAACCCTGGAGAAATGGGTAAGTATGGGCTGTGGGTGCTGGGAAACCAGGGAAGCAAGAAAGGTGAAGACAAACCCCTACTACCTGGGAAGAAAAGCCTGAACTGCTTTCTTGTGCCTGGCACTGCTTGCCTAAACCCAGCAGCTGCAGCAGAGAACAGCTGGATCCCAGCAATGGGATCAGCCACGAGAACAGCTGGATGTGAGCAGGCAGCTGCAGAGCAGAAGCTGCACAAGGTCACCCACACAGAGTGAGGACAGGCTATGGCCAGTGTCTCACACCTCCTGGAGGTTTTTTACTCACTGGAGCGCTCTGCAAGGTGTGGATAAGCCCTTTGCATCAAGACACCTATTCTCCTTTGTCTTAGGCAGGATATAAGGTGGAAAGTTAAGCGTGTTATATTCAGCCATGTCCGTCAATGGTCCCTCAGTTTGCATCCAAGCCATAGTCTCCACCTGCAGTGTCCAAATGTTTATTTAAAAAATAAAATACCACTTTCTGGTGTCATCTTGTGCTTTGCTGCAAGAGCACAATAGTTAAGATACAAGTGGTTTCAGTGTGCTTTCTTTATATGTGATGTAGTAATTACTGCCTTATGTTGTCCTCTTTAAAAGGCTCCCATAAAAGCCACAGATACTTTCAAGGAAAATACAGTTAAGAAAATATTAATACTGGCTTTAGAATTAAATGTTCTTGCGGTTCTCCAGAACAGATGTCAAAACTGTTGCTACTGCTGTTATAAAGGGACAGCTGCAACCACTCTGAGCTCTTGAAAAAAGGGTTTCTTTGGTAGGCTTGGCAATTAGACATAAGGAGTCACAAATGTAATTTCTTCTTACAAGTGTATCAGCCAAGTTTTGAGTCACACTAAGAGAAGGACAGACATGACTGAACCTTGCTGAACGAGAACTGCGGAGTTCTATAAATAACGGCAAATTGGAGATGCACAAGAGCTGCTTTGGAGAGGGCGAGTTTGTCAAAACCAGTGATTTCTGTGTTTGCAGCCTCCCTTTGAGGGACCCAATGCGTGTTATTAGAGGAACGCAGTGCGAGCAGAGGCGCGTGCGCTCACAAGCCCTTTCAGCAGTGCTGCGCCTCGCATGGATCAGCGGAAGCCCGTCTGGCAGCCTGTGGCTGAGGAAAACATCTCGTCAGTGCAAAAGAACTACAGGGAGTACAAGGCAAAACATGAATGTGCCTTGTTTCTCATCAGCAGTAACACTAAAACTTTCTGAAGCCTAAAAAATCCCCAAGGACCAAATAACGTATTTTAACCTTTTTTTCCAACTCTCGCCTTTAAACCTGAGAGTGTTTGTACAGTACAAATTCTATGCATTTACTTAAAATTCACTTTTCTTTCTTAAGAGTAGGAAGGATAATCTGAGATCTCAGCAATACTCGACTTCTCAGGCAAAAAAACGTATGTTCTCTACATGATGGGAAATGGATTAAATGTACTGATGATCTGGTGCAATTAAAAAATTGTGATTGCACCTTCAGGGCAAATCAAAACCATGTAGGATGTACAAACCTACATACAAATACTGTCTATCCCTATAATGAAATTTACCTATTTTTAAAAAAACATGGGAGATTCCTAGGCTTAGGTGTAACCTGCACAAACACGTGGGCTTTTCTCAACTTTCTTTCCTCCTCCTTCTCTCTAAGGATTTGCTGTGAGTCTCCAGGTGATTCTGTCGCATCCGAAAGCCGTATTCAAACGTCGCGGTTCTCAACCGGGAATGCAAGAATCTGATTTCCTGAAACAGATAACAACAGTGGACGAACTGGAGCCAAAAGCAAACAACTGCACAAAGGTACCCATTTCTGCACTTAGTGAAAACGCTTCCGTGTCCGCTCTGCAGACGCCTGTACTAATGTTAACAAATGTTATTTTACCAGGTTCTTGTATGGCACACGCGAACAGAGAAAGTAAACCTAGCTAACGAGCCAAAATACCACCTGGACACAGTCAATATCGAGGTGTGATCCGGAGACACGCACTTACACAGGTGAAGCATAAGCGCAACCGGGTGCGTCAGAAGGAGTTGGAATTCAGCCAGTTAAAAAAGTTCACTTCTGTGTGAGACCTTTCCGTAGGCATCTGATGGGACTTCTGTGGAAACGAAAGGAAGCTGTCAGATACTCTGATAAAGCAATCAAGTGGGTGTGCTTTGTTCTAACTTATTTGCATGCATTTCTGAACTCTCGTCTTAATAAACTGGCACTTACCTTTGTTTTGAGGCTGTTTCCACATAGTAAAAACAATCAAGAGAAACGTGGCTGCAGTGGAGCGTTTTCAAAATCATTGTTTGTGTATATACTTTTTGTATTTATCCAGCTTAATGGTGTAATTATAAACTGATTTTAAATCACGAACCGTTGCTCTAAATAATATTTGCGTGAATGAATCCTCCAAATCGAACGTGTTTTTCCTTCATTAAAAGTAGACTTAAAGAAACAGTGGTCAAACAGCTCATACGACAATGAAATAAAAACCCACAATCATTTATGGATTTATCCTTTTAATATAGGGAAATAACATTTTATCATTACGAGGCACCATAAAATGTAAACACAATCACTGTCATAAACCTGGATATCTCTGCGAGGAAAAAAATCTATCTGTTCACATCGAGTTACCTTGTGTACGTCATGTGCCGCTCGCTCTCGGCATTAATACTGTGTACGTGCCTCGTGAGCCAGATTGGATGCTTTATCGCAGGAAACTCAAATGGATCGAACGCTCATTTTTAAAAGAATAAACTATTGATTTGTAGAACGACAGTAACATCCAGGTTTATCTTTCTTTCAATAAACCGTATTCCCTGGTACGCACACCGTAACAACATCACAGTGAAATGCATGATGAAACAAAATTTGTTTGATACACTAGAAAACATTGCTCAGTGATACATTTACATTCTATTTATATATGATTAAACGGTTGTTCATACAGTACCTTCTACAGGATTACTGGGTAATTTGGGAGGGTCGGGGTTCATATTTTTGGATATTACTAACATGATAGCTACATCCCTTATATGCGAACATTTGATCTAGAATTTTGAGGGGAGGGGGGAAATCAGTATGTGCTTAAGCAGCTTCTTAAATATATGGTCTATGAATCGTATGCATTGTATGAAAACGCTGCCAAGGATGTATAAATGTATTCTTGATCTGCTTTCACTACATCAAATTTAAATCAATATAGACCACACCACGGTCAGTCAGTTATATTCTTAATCTGAACAGCTGGGGGAAAAAAAAAAAGAGTATGTACATGGGAGGAACAGCGAAAGTAAAATTGTTTTGAATGGGGAATGTCAGGTGGCTGTTCTGGGAGGGGGTTCGATTGCAACTTTCATTTCCACAGTTGTGTGCTCAGAGTCTGACCCGAGGAGCTGCCGGTCCACCCCGCCGCTGTGCTGGGGGCCTGCCCAAAGCCCATCACGTTGCTGGAAGTGCTGAGGTTCATTCCGGCCATCTGCTGGTTCATCTGGGAAGCAACCACAGGAGCCCCGTCAGCCGTCATGCCGAAATGCAACACACCCCCAGCTTGCAACCCCCTTAAAGTACATTTCCCTCAAGTTCGGATTTCTCCTTAAATAAAAGTACTGACTCAGTGTAAATTTCTAAGCATTTTTTAAGACAGCAGCACTTCGTGTCTGTGTAGGGTCTGTATCAACACTCCGCTACTGAGGCTGCAGAGCATGTGGACAAAGGAGAGCAACGTGTCAGCTAATAAAGATCTTGCTTTCCAAGCTAACCCACAAAACTGTGGCAACTGCGATAAAGAAATGTCAAGCAATACAGCCTTGTCTGTATTTGCAGTGCTAGATGTTTGTTGTTCCAGGGATATTTCTTCGGACACCTGAAAATCCCAAATACTAGAAACTGTCCACTTAGGTGGCAATTGACAAAGTGAGGCGGATTTAGAAACTTAACTATTACCTAAATCTAACCGTTCTTGCTAAAGAATCTACTCAAGATACCATAATTTCTGAAAAACAAGTGAAATTATTCACATGAAATTAAAGACAACATCTAGCTAAAGGTGGGAAAAAGTTCAAAATTCAGCACATTCACTTTGGAGATGGTGAAAAATATTTCTAGAAGTATTATCTAGTGACTGTAATTTTCAGTGCTTAATGTAAAAGCATTCTTCAGGTTACTCTCTCTTGCCTTCTAAAAAATTAACACTTTTTGACAAGTCAAAAACCTTGCTGTACAGACAGAGTAAAGACGTCCCCCTCCTGTGAGGAACCGGTGAACAGGGATGTTGGATAAGAACATTAGATCCACGTCAGAGACAGTATTAGGCAAAAAATCAGAGCTCATGTAAACATGAGCAAATGACAGCAGGTTGCAAACTGAAACTGAAACACTGGTGAAAATAAATTGTTAAATGAATTACAAACTACTATTGCAAGGTAAAACACAGTCCTGGATGCTTTCACACGTGTATCTCAATATGGAAATTAAAAAAGCTGATGAAAACACCCTTTGCCTGGTTGTTAATCTCTTCTGGAGTAGGATTCTTAAGAAATAGACTATATATACATTACAAAGCACGTTATTCTGTAAGGAAAGCAATCTCTCGCCGCTTTGGCTGGAGTCAGAGGTGAGAGGACAGTTCCCTCACAAACCACGGAACGTCAACGTGCTGCAATACTGGATGCACCACGAACACAGAAACGTGTTAAGAGCTTGTTCTATGAGCCAGCTTTTAGTATATATTTGATAGGAAGCAAGAGTTCAATTTCAAAGCCGATATGGGTCTTTTTAAAGTTAGATACCTAGAAAAAGGCTTGTTTGCAGTAAATCCACAGATTTTTTTGGGGGGCTGATGTTTTGAAATTCTCACTTTTTAACAGTTACTATTCAAAGCAGAACGACAGCCTGTATTTTCAAGTAGGGGCTGTTTTATCCATCTAAGAAATGCTGCTTGTCTCCATAAATGTTCGTACCACAGGACTGAGCAGAACAGTCAAAAAAACCATAATCCAATCTAAAAAAGTCACTAGGGTTCACTTCCTGAATTTCTAGAGTAAGCAGCATGGAATTATTATATTGGTTCTTATAATTCAAAGAATATTATGAAAAAAAATTAATAACTTGCTGTCATCCACAGTGAACTTCAAGGGAATAATTTAAGTTTGTGTGCCCTCTCCTAATAACCTTTTGCAAATACCTGGTTTCAAGGTGATTCAATGGATAATGTAGAAATATAGTACTAAGTGCACACCAGCACCTTCAGAGAACCTTTTAAACATGTTTAAGAAATAAAAAATAGCACAGAAATGCTACAGATAAATAATAGATTAGCCTAGCAAATTGTCTACAGGAGAATGTCAGAGTGCAAAGCACTGCGCATTCCACTGAAATTTATCCTGAAGTCTGTAAATGAAAGTATTTAATTGTTAATGGCTATCCTGGAGTACTTACATTCTGCTCTTACTTACAAAGCTGTGTTTACATTTCAGTATTTTATAACTACAGCTAAGCTAGCTTTTTCCCTGGCTAGCTCAGATGACAGGATGAGAGTAGCTACGGAAGCAGAGAACTGAGTTTGGTACCTGGCAAAATTTATTCTCTGATTATATGTTGGTTATCTTCAATATAATCATCAACTATTTTTTTTTTTAACATGTGCCTCTGAGCAGTTTACAGCCCAGCAGTCCATAACCTGTCTACAGCGCAACTTTCCTCCCACAGCCAATCATTCTGTATCGGAAAAACAGCCTCGTGTCTGGAAAAGCCCTCTGGCCTGGGGACAGCAGGTCTTTACCTGAGAGAGGTTCCACTGAGCCTGCTGGTTTTGTTGCAATCCGTACTTGTTTTGTGGCGTGGCCATCTGTCCCACCATTCCACCTTGAGGTCCAACGACGTTCTGAGGCAGTCCCATCACACCAGTCTGTGTAGTACCAGTAAATCCATTGGGCATTCCCATTCCTACCATCACGCCTGTGCTCTGTCCCAAGACCGGCACCGATTGTCCCATCATGTTTCCCATCATCCCAGTCGCTGCGGGCACTGGAACTCCCATGGCTGGAAAGCCTTGAAAATGAGTTGACGGTTGTGTGGTAAATGGCATAGAAGACGACCCCATGAACATACCTGGACCAGAGAAAGGAAGATTTCAGCAAAAGCGTTTTGTGATCTTTTTCCCCCAACCCCATAGGCCAGAAGTGCACCAGAAGAGTTTTAAAGGCTAGCTTTGTCCAGTTGAATGTCAGCACTGTTAGCTTCTGGTAAAAGTTAAAAATCGCTTAAAAAGGAAAGGGACTTGACACCAGAGGTTAACTGTCAAAAAGAGTTTGGCAAATCCCTGTGGTGAACCAGAATCTATTAATCGCCGTATTGGAGGTCTTTGTTTTCATACAAACGTAGCTAAAATCAAGATATGACAGCTCTGCACTGATCCTGGCAGCCTGCTGTTTGCACAGTGGAGACTGAGACCTGAAGCGATGAATTAAGACGGCAGAAGCTGAATGCACAACTCTTTCAGTGAATCATATACTTGATAATCTGAACAGCTATAAATAAAATCAGACACTATTCTTTAGCTCCTGTATTCCACTTCAGTAATTTTCTCATTTTAATAAATGTTAAAAAATTAAAAACCTCCGTCTGAACACAGGTAGGAGTGCATCCAACCTTAGTTTTACACTTGAAGGAGATAACGATTCTGGGTAGAGCTTCACGTAGGACTGCACAGAAACCTTTCCAAAATGATTTACCTGGAGCGTTTTGCTGCTGCATGGTTCCCGTGCCATACAGGGATAAGATGGAGTCTTTGGAGAGTTGTTTCTTTGCCGACTCTTCAGATTTTGTTGTTTGCTCAGTGAACAGATCCAGATCCCCGGATGCCGCAGACAAGGTGGCAGCTGCTGGTTTAGTGGAAGCGCTCTGGGAAATAAAGGTCACGACAGACTACTGAACGAAACCGGCAGAAGACGTAACGCTAAATATTTTCTGCACATCCTCACTCCTGAACCAAATAAAACCCAGTCAATCTACAGAAATTAACTTTAAGGAAATGAGAATTTTAAAAGATGTAGTATGACTAAAGATCAAAAAAAGCAGTATATACAAGAAGGAAAGAAGACCAGATGGAGGTTATAAAACACGCAAAAACTAAAACCCCAACCGGCTCCAGGGCGTACACATACAGTTTATTCATTCCTGTTGCTCTTACATTTTTCATCAGTCAGAAGCATAAATCATGAGCTGTAGTTAGATTATGAAAAATAATTAGGAAATCAATAAGGATATTACAATTCACATCTCATTAATCCTCTCATAGGCAGGATAGATTAGAGAAGAGCTAAAACAAAAGATTAAATGCTTTGGAATGTGCTGCTACAACTAAAATGAACAGGGTTTTTTGAGAAAAGGCAGAACTAAAATTTCGGTTGATCTACTTAAGGTAATAACGTTTCTATAATACATTGTTTGCAATTAGCTTAGAATTCTTCAGGCACATTTCATTTACTGAGAAAGCATAATTATCTACAACTTACTGTAGTCTATGACCAAAAAACTAAAACACAGGCAGGGCTGTCAGGTTTTTTATTGCTCTTGCACCAAAATGTTTTGTCAACAAATTACATCCAGGTGTCTTTCTGGCTGTTACTTTGCTGCTCACACACATACAGTCCTCTCTGGGGGCTTGCTTAGGTAACTTAGCCAATACGCTTCATTCTTGGTTTATTTCTCAAAATACCCAACTCACCCTGTTATCAGTGGGAACTCTGAGTACAAATCAACTGTACGTGCACTGAAAAAGGGCCAGGGTTGCAATGCATACCTGAATTATGGCCTTATTTCAGTCCAGCTAAATGATCCCCAGATGCTTACCTTACACCTCCCTGCATAATCCAGCAGTGTGTCCATCTATCAACTCTTCCCAACACTGAAGAAAAATCCTCTGTGTGCTGCCACCACCAACAGGCTGGATGTGCAGCCACATCCCTCAGTTTGGTGTCATCGCACACCCAACTTTATCAAAGAAGCCACCACAACATACTCTGACAGGGTTAAACACCTACACTGTTCCTCTAAGTAACAACCTCCAAACTTGCCTGTTTTTGCAAGCAGGCTCCTGACTAACACTCTGCCAAATCCATTATGGCCACACAAGATTTGTACAAATACTGCCATACCCCCCAACGGGGGTTGGTCTGTTCTCCCTAGTGGTGAGTGATAGCACGAGGGGAAATGGCTTTAAGTTGCACCAGAGGAGGTTCAGGTTGGAAATTAGGAATAATTACTTTGCTGAAAGGGTTGTCAGCCATTGGAACAGGCTGCCCAGGGAGGTGGTTGAGTCGCCATCCCTGAAGGTGTTTAAGAGAAGGGTAGATATTGTGCTGAAGGATGTGTTTTAGTGGTGTTGACAGGGCTAGGGAAAGGTTGGGCTCGATGATCTTGAAGGTCTCTTCCAGCTGAAACCATTCTGTGATTCTATGATTCTATAATAGGCAGCTTCAGAAAATGCATTTGAGCTAAAAAGCTCTCGAAAAGCTAATATGCTCAGTGTTATAAATTGGAGGGTAAAAACCCTGCGAAACAATTCTGGTACCAACTCAACTGCCCAGAAACCATCAAGAGAAAGGAGTGCAGAATCACATGGCTGATGGTTTAAACTCTTCACAAACTACTGTGGAAAGGGAACAGAAAAAGACAAGAAATGGAAACTTGGCGGCAGCTGAAACCCTGCATTTATATAACAGTCAGTTTAGGCCAAGGTCACCAGACCTTAGTAAGCAACAAAGGGTAGGTTGATGGCACTACAACAGGAAAGCAGATGGAACAAGAGCAGGAATTGTTCAGCTTCAGTGACACCTTCACTCTGGCCAATGTACACTTAAACTTCGCCAGGTACATATATAAAAGCTACCACCTCTTGCTTATTACTGACAAAACCTTCTGATTGCAAAGCAAAATCGAAGTTTTGTAGTAGGTAGTAGGAAGCCCTCTCCGACTGAGACAACACGTTGTCAGCGTGGCATAACCAGATATTTGAAAACACTACAGTCGCCTTTAATAATATGTTCAGGTGAAAGTCCATCCTCAAAAGTCGTATTTGTTTTATAATGCATGTATCCAGGCAGTCTCATTACTGAATTACTGCACGTTGGCACGGTCCTCCCACCACGGCATCTGCCCAAGATAGTCCCTGGACGACAGTTGTGCCCAGCAGAATGGAGAAGTACATGCAAGCGGTGGGAGCCAGTTAGGAGGGGAGGCTTCCTCTTCGCCACTCACACAGCAGTAAGGGGTTTTTTGCTTTTCTCTAGAAGGGGGAAAGCAGACACATCTGGGGTTGTTGTTGGGTTTTTAAAAATAAACAACAGCATCAGAAGAACAGCTCTCATCTGGGATCACAGAATCACAGGATGTTAGGGGTTGGAAGAGGCCTCTGGATATCATTTAGTCCAACCCTGCCACAGCAGGTTCACCTAGAGCAGGTTGCACAGAATGGTGTCCAGGCAGGTTCTGAACGTCTCCAGAGACAGAGACTCCACCAGCTCTATGGGGAGCCTGTGCCAGGGCTCCACTATCCTCACAATAAAGAAGTTCCTCCATATGTTTAGATGGAACTTCCCATGTTGAGTTTTGTGCCCGTTACCTCTTGTCCCATCACTGGGCAGCACTGAAAAAACACTGGCCCCATCCTCCTGACACCCACCCTTTAAGTATTTGTAAGCATTGATAAGATCGCCCCTCAAGTCTTCTCCAGACTAAAAAGCCCCAAGTCCCTCGGCCCTCATCTCAACTAGAGATGTTCTAGTCCCCTAATCATCTTTGTGGCCCTTTCTTGTCCCCTCTCCAGCAGTTCCCTGTCCTTCTTTCTAAACTGAGGAGTCCAGAACTGGACACAGCACTCCAGATGCAGCCTCACCAGGGCAGAGCAGAGGAGGAGGATGACCTCCCTCGACCTGCTGGCCACTCTCTTCTTGATGCACCCAGGATGCTGTTGGCCTTCTTGGCCATGAGGGCACAGTGCTGGTTCATGGTCATCCTGTTGTCCACCAGGACTCCCAGGTCTTTTTCCCCTGAGCTGCTTTTCAGACAGTCAACCCCCAACCTGCTCTATCACATGGGGTTATTCCTCCCCCCTACACTTGTCCTTGTTGAATTTCACAAGGTTTCCCTCTGCCCAAATCTCCAGCCTGTCCACAGGATGAACCACAGTTTAGAGTCTAGGACGAGCTGCCTGATCTAGTCGACAGCTGGAGTCCTTGGCGACAGGGAGGCTGGATTAAAATGATCTCTAAGGTCCTTTCCAGCCTAGGCCATTCTATGATTCTATGAAATACTGCTACTACAGGTGCTTCAGTGCTCCATGTGTGCACAGAAGAGAAGAGCTGAAGACCTCGAGGACTGATCACCTATTATGTTTACATCATGAGATTAAATGTTCATTTAATGTCTTTTCATTCAGTTTGGTTTTGGAAGATGCTGAGAGGAGCCAAACACTGAACAAGTACTCCCTGAAGTGCTCATCAGCTAAATAAATGAAAGGTAATGCAAAATACATGGCAAGAGAACAGCAGGTGGCATTAAAGTAAAAAAAACAAACAAACAAATACAAAACAACACAAAACCAAACAACAACACTGGCATAATTTTCACATATCTAACATTCTCATGCTACCCAACACCTCCGTAAAAACACGCCTGGCATACATATAAAAATTATTCTTTAAGAAAGACTACATGTAGTGCCCTCAAACAGTCATTACACTAAAACTAAATGCTCACCAGGAGGTTAGGGAACATACTGCTGAGGGGTTCCATGGTGTTAGCATAACAGAATTTTTCAGAACTAATGGAATTCATCTCCAATAGGCTTCATATTTAAAAATAAATAATTTCTGTCATCAATAGTGTTACCTGTTGTCATGGGTTTGAGTCTGGTGGGGTTTTTTTGTAAAAGTGGGGTTAGATTCCTGCACAACTTCGAGAGTCTCTCGCACCCCCAGGTAGGAGCTGGACCTGCCTCTGGCCAGGGCCAGGCTGGTCAGTGCCTCTGCCATCAAGGTATTTAAGAGGTGACCCCATTGCTCTTTTTCTCTCTTTTGGTTTTGTCTTGTTTTGAGCTCTCCTGACTTTAATGTTGGGGAGTTTTTCTGTTGGAGGAGGGGGAGGTGAGAGGAGAACAAAGGAACATCTCCCTGAGAAGAAAGAGGGGGAGAGGAATCCCAGAGGAGAAGGAGAGGGAGAAGGCTGCCAGAGCAAGATCTTTCCCTGAAGCCCGTGGTGGCTGAGACAGCAGGAAGGTGACTGCCTGCCAGCTGAGGGAATTAACGGCGGCGAGAATGTCCAGGATGCGTCGGAACATGCAGAGCCCCATGTGAGAGGGGAGAGAGCCCGAGCATCAGCGAGAGAAGCAATCCATGGCCCTGATGGACTCATGAGGAGGAAGAGGATTGCCTCCTGTGAGGTGAACACCATAAAGCAGGAAGGAGAGACTGCAAGGAGCCCTCTTTCTCAAGCAGGAGCTGCCATGGACAATGAGTAATGGCCAGATGGACTGTGCCACCTATTCCCTGCATTATTGCGAGGGAGAAGGTAGCCAGGAAGACAGTGAGGTGGGGGCGCAAAGTGTATTCAAGATTGGGTCATATTTATTGATGTATTCCTCTCACTATCCTACTTCGTAAATGGTGGTGGTGAATTAAATCTGTGTTTTTCTCCCCAAGATGTTCTGGTTCTTTACCTGTCATCTTAAATGGTAGATTATTATCCTCCCTATCCTTAATCTCAAGCCCTTGAGCCTTTTTTAGCTGAGTTTTCTCCCTCCACATCACTGTGGAAATGGGGGTGGGGGGGAGGAGTGAGCTGTAGACCATGTGGTTTTTTTTCCCCAGTTGGCTTGAACCACAACACCTGTATAAGGCAAT